GGGGGGGGGGGGTCACAAATTGTCTTTCTATATGTAGCAATATACCATCTCTGGAAATCTAGGGATAGCACTGTCATATTTTTCAGAATTTAAAAATAGTCTTCTGTTAGTTTGACAAATGAATACTACTCTGTACTTATACATTCCCTTATATTAAAACAAAACACAAAATAAAAAATCTTGTTCTCGTGTCATCATGAATAATTTCTAGAACTAAATAGGAATTAAATAACCATTAACAGATATGTTGATATGGTATTTTTTCCTATTAAAAATATGTCCGAAAATAAAATGGGGCTGACCTTAAGTGCCTTAAATGAGAGACAAATTGTTTTACCTATAAATCTTGCATTTTCTTTCAATAAGATGCAGAAAAGCAGTAAGAAGAAAGTAGAAAATAAAAAATGCCCTTCAATGTACTCTGGTAGAAAAGAGAGAACACTACTCAGGACAAACAGAAAAATTAAATGCTCCTTTGCCAAATGTCTACTTTAATTAACATTTCTGTGAAAAATTAAGGGCCTTATAATCCCCTGAATTATTTTGTCAGATCTAGCTAGGCCTTTTTATGCCTCCTTAAGTATATAAGGCTTTTTATATCAAGCTTTTCTTATGAGACTAAAAATAAAAACTCATTTTGGTAATGGCGTTGTTCTGTGCATCACAACTTTTTAAACAAACTCTTTTAGAGAACTTTTTGGTACCAATCACTGTCCTAAGTGCTTTAAAATATTAATTTACTTAAAGAGTTTAAGAATCCTATGAGATAGATATTATTATTTATTATATATCTTCATTTTACAATTAGGGAAATTGCCCAAGATCACACAGTGATAAAGTTAGGGTTTGAACCCAGACCAATCTGGTTTTAGGGTCCATGCACTTAATGTCTCAGCTATGTTGCCTCCAACAGTTTCTTATACAGATGTTCAGGAAGGAAAAGCCCAGAAAATCTGAAATATAGAAAATTTAATCTGTTGAGACTGTAGCAAGGATCAGACTTCGTATGTTATACAAACTTGTTTTAGGACTTATTACAAGGTTCAAAGAATATGAAGGCACACATAATCTATTTTAAAAAAAAGGCAGTAAAAAGCCATCACAATGTATAGTAAGAATGAAATAATGATGAAAATCATGGGGAAAATAAAAACTTTTCACAATATATAATGATCATCGATAAATGATTCAGCTACTGTGTGTAGACATAATGCTGCAAATGTTTTAATAAACATTGTGATCTAGGGAGATTCTGTGTTTAAGACATTGTAAAAACTACTAAGAGTTTTACTCTCAGATAGAACATAGAAGGTCATAAAGGACTATTACTAGAAGACATTGTAAAAACTACTAAGAGTTTTACTCTCAGAACAGAAGGTCATAAAGGATTATTACTACAACAGGAAAACACAAGATACAATGGTTACACTCTACCAGTGGTTGGCAAACTCATTAGTCAACAGAGCCAAATATCAACAGTACAACGATTGAAATTTCTTTTGAGAGACGAATTTTTTAAACTATATGGGTAGGTACATTGTTATTAACTTAATTAGGGTCCTCCTAAGGCTTAAGAAGAGTCACACTCAAGGGGCCAAAGAGCCGCAGTTTGCCGACCAAGGCCTAGGTCAAGCATGTCAAACTCTCGGCCCATGGGCCGCATGCCTCATTTATTTGGCCCATGTTAGCCTTTGAGTTTGACATGCTTGCTCAGTAGATACAAAGAAGTCTAACTAAATCAAATTCCAATGAGAAACTATCAAAGAACTATATATACCGTTTTTATGGGACCAATCACCTATCCTGGGAATCTGTGGGTGGAAGAGCATGCCTGGCATAGTAAGACAGATTTTGGTGGGATGAGAAAAATACCCTGAAGCTTTTAATGACAATATGTCTGGTATAATCGATTGTAAATAGAAGAACTCGATGTGAAAATAAATTGCATTCAACAATTCTCCCCCAGAGGAATTTTGGTAAAAGACAGAGGACGGACCTGAAAAGCAGAAAAATGTCTCATTGTTTTGTCCAGCACTTATGTTTTAGAACCTTTCTGGCATTACAACTAGAGATGAACTGAGCTTTCAGTTATTTGAAAATATCAAGAACTTCCAGAAAAAGTTATTTTCACTGAATTAATATAAAATATCATATAAAGTTAATTTCCACTGTTTCAGAAAAGAATACATGTTATATAGCTATAATATTAAATGCAATTCCAGAATAGACCAGTCTTTAAGCAGTATATTCATTAAAAATAGACAAAAACTCACTTTCTGATAACCCATTAAGAACCCTTGAAAAGGACCTATAGCAAGCTTATAGAAAGCTTAGCAAATACGCTATTTCCCACTAGGGAAATCTTTGAACCAAAAAGAGCAGAAACCACAAGGAATGATAAATGCACAAACTTGTTTTTTCCAGAATTTAATATTTTTAAAAAGACGGAAAGTATAAAAATTATCAAAAAAAAATCTTAAAAGGTTTATTTTGGGGCTAAATGCTTGCACTGAAACTTTTTCTTATAATTGATTTAAGGTAAAAGGCAAAAATTATATTAAAAAACACAGCAGCTACAGCTGTCCAATATAAAGTCCATCTGCAGAAAGGTAGGACAAAATGAGCTGACTGAGGAAATATTCACATCATGACCTCAACAGCAAGTTTCAAATGGTTCCAGTTCCCAAGGTCTAAAACAAGGATCATCTTGCATGTTTAGATTCTACTTCTTCAAGAATCCACTGAATGCCATTCAAAAAACCCTTTAGAGTTTCAGCCTCTGTATCCTGGACCTAGGAGCAAAGAAGAGAGACGATTATCAGTAAGAAACTGAGTCCAACATCTTATGATGATGATGGACATTTTTTTTAAAATATACTTTTATTGATTTCAGAGAGGAAGTGAGAGAGAGAGAGAAATATCAATGATAAGAGAGAATCATTGATTGGCTGCCTTCTGCATGGCCCACACTGGGGATAAGCCGGCAACCCGGGCATGTGCCCTTGACTGAAATCGAACTTGGGACCCTTCAGTCCACAGGCTGGTGCTCTATCCACTGAGCCAAACCAGCTAGGGCCGGACATTTTTCTAGACACCAAAAAAAGGACTAAAAATATCCCAATAAACTTTGGATGAATCACTGAAGTAGTCTCCTAGACAACTTAGATAAAAATATGATCTCTTATATCTTTTAATTATTACCAATATAAGGCTTATTATTTATCCTTGGGGATAGGAAGATCTACCATTTCCATGACTTGTTTGTATGTATTAGAAAAATAATTCCCACAAAAGATCCCCTTTGAAAACGAAAAGATTTTTGAATGAACCCAGCTTGTCAACTGATAAACATGACGTCTTGTTGCAAAAAAAATGTCTTTAAGACTGCCACTTCTCCTAGTGGTAAGTCAAACTCAGGAAGGTACACCTTTATTAGTAGCTTTCAAATTGTGTTCCAGTTTCCAGAGCTCCTTGGGAGGGATAAGGGGAGAAAAGAAGGAAGAAAATCCTCTAAATTCTTCAGCAAAAGCATTTCCAATATTAATTTTCCTTTATTTTACTTAGGGCAAGCATGTCAAACTCGAGGCTGGCGGGCCGCATGCTTCGTTTAAATAAAGGAGGCATGCAGCCCACTGGCCGCGAGTTTGACATGCTTGACTTAGGGGTTTTCATGTAAGGTTTCATTTGATGAAAAGATTCCATGATTAAAATAAAGTTTGGAGAGCTAGGAACTCTAAGATGGAATCTGTACTTCTGATGGCCCTTAAAGCATAATACACTAATGCTGGAAAAAACCATGATAGTGGCATCTAAAAAAAAAAAAATCCCCAATTATTATTCATTGTACCCATGACAGGAGAGACAAGTAGGAACAAATGATCAGCTGAGACTATTGAAACCAACTAAAATAACTCCCATCAATTAAGCTATTAAAACTGACTTTAGAATACTGTTCTGTTTCATTAAAGAGAATGAGTAGGAAACAGTAAAATTAAAAAAAAAACAAACTGAAAAAATAAAGTAAGATGTTTCTCACCAGAGAAGATAGGATCTTACCATCCATGGGTGGTTTAAATGATTCAGACCCAGCTCATGTGCCACATAAAAACAGGGCATTCTTTTCACATTTGCCTGAGAAATACAAGATAAAACCAGCATTGGTCTTCCTGAAGATCCAAAGGCTGGGTCTGTCATTGCCATAATACGAGAAAATTCATCTTGCCATTCATGTCCTAAGGAACGAAGTCAAACTCTTAATTTGCATTACTTGCAATGATTTCTAAAATAATTAGATTAAAAACTAACAGAACAAGAAAACAAAAAAATTACCAGGACCCAAACATAACAAACTACCTCTATTGCTTTGTTCATTTATTAATGTCATTAAGTAGCCTTGCAAGGACTGGTATTTAGGTGAAATCAGAGGGGAGGGGAATCATAGTACCATTCAGATGTCTCTATAGTTTAAAAGAAAAATACCTTAATATAGTTATTTTCCTCTCACAAATTCTGTAGCTATCACTACCCTTTCTTTCAAAGTCCTTAATTTCAAAAATTTAAACATATAGTTGGGTCTAGCTTTTCTATGCAAACTAACAGTCTCTGCCTTTCACTGAAGTATATAAATCACTGACATCTTGTGGTAGGCAGAATTTTAAAGCGATCCCCAATGACTCGCACCCTTGTATAAACCCTTCCCCTTTGCTGGGAGGAACCTGCAAATATAATGGGATATCACTGTCATCATTGGGGTGTATTGTCCTATTAGGGACGCCGTCCTCAGTGAGCCTGACCTAAGCATGTGAGTCCTTAAAAGGGATGAAATTCTTCTAACAAGAGAACGGTGAGCTGATAAACAGGTGTTCTTTTGAACCAGTAGGTTGGAGGTGATTTGTTATATACCAATAGAAAACAAACATGTAATGAATTAACAAACATGGGACATTTAAATCTATCATATACCTCTTGGATTTTGACTTGTTCAACCCGTTCTTTGTTCCTTTGTCTCTCTTGTTCTTTCTTTTGAATTGAGTTTTTTAAATGATTCCATTTTATCTTCACTACTGGCTTATTTAATTATACCTCTGTTACACTTTTTTTAGAGGTTGCTCAAAGATTTACAATGTAATTCTTAACTTATAACTGTCTACCTTTAAATAGTATTATACAATTTCACTTATAGAAGAATATTACAACAATATATTTCCATTTCCTCCCTTCCATGCTGTTGTACTGTTAGTATAAATTTTACTTAAAAATATCACATACCCACAATACATTGTTACTATTTTCCTTTACATAATTATAAGGAATTTAAAATTAGAAAAAAACTTTTATATAGTTTTATTGTTTTCATCCCAGGGTTCTTGATTTATTTTTGTAGATGCAATTTTCCATCTGGTATATTCTTCTGCCTAAAGAGATTCCTTTAATAGTTCCTCTAGTGCAAATCTGCTAATAATGAATTTTCACAGATTTTGTTTGTCTGAAAAGTCTTGATCTTGCCTTCATTTTTAAAACATTTCTTTGCTGGACATAAGGTTTCCTCCCCTTTGCAATACTCTACAGCAAGCATGTCAAACTCAAAGGCTAACACAGGCCAAATAGATGAGGCATGTGGCCCAAGGGCCACAAATTTGACATGCTTGCTGTACAGATTTCCCTTCACTGCCTTCTAGCTTGCAGCAATTCTGTCAGGGAGTCTGTCCTTACCCGTGGCCCTTTGTAAGTATCTTTCCTTCTGCTCTGGCTGCCTTCAAGATATTCTGTTTACCTTTGGTTTTCATCAATTTAGCTATGATATATCTAGATGTATTTTTCATTTATTAGGTTTACAGTTCTCTGGGCATCTTGGATCTATGGCTTGTTGTCTTTCAGTAATGTTGAAATATAGGCCATTATCTGTTCAAAATTTTCTTTTCCCCTGTTCTTACTCCCTTCATGTTTTGGTACTCCAATTACACACATATATGTTAGACTAGGGATTGGCATATTACATTCCTGTCGATCTGTCTTCATAAATGAAATTATTTTGGAAAACAGCCATGTCCACTAATTTACAAACTGTCTGTGGCTACTTTTGCACTGTAACAGTAGCGTTGAGTAACTATGAGAGATCATATGGCTCATGTAACTAAAATATTTAATATCTAGCCTTTTAAGAAAAAGTTAACTCTCCTTTGATAGGTTCCCCCAGCTCTTGGATGCTCTGTTCCCCACTCCTTCTCTTTTTCCTCTGTGTGTTTTAATTTGGATAATTTCAACTGAGCTATCTTTCAGTTTTTTGAAGGCTTCATTTGCCAATAAGTCCGTTGAAGAAACTATTCACCTGTTATCATATTTTCTATACTTAGCAATCCCATTTTACTCTTTAATAGCTTCTTACTCTCTGCTGAAAATCCCTATCTGTTCACACATATTGTCTACTTTTTCCACTAAATCCTTTAACATATTAATCATGTCCCTTTCTGAGAGTGACAACATCCAGGCAATCTACTGATTACTTTCTCTTGATAATGGGTCATTTCATTTTTATTTTTTGTGTGTGACATAAAATTTTAATTTACTGCTAGATGTTTTATATAGAGCCAGTAGAGACTGTAAAGACTGAGGTAAAGAGGATTTACTACTGAAAATAGACATGATTTTTTTGTTAGGCCATTAATGCAGTAGGTCAAGTTCAACTAGTCAGTAGTTAAGATGGATTTGGCTTTTATTGTTATGATTAACTTTAGTGCACCATAAACTTTAAATTCTTTAAGGAATGGGCTGCTGCTACCGTGTTCTGAGTGAGAACAATATATTATATTATTTATATCCTTCCTTGTTCACAGGGGTTTGAGGGAGAAATTACAACAATGACTTTGGCCCCAAAATATTTTGATTTCATACCTATATATCACTATGAATCGCAATTATTCAGAATATATAGAGAGTGTTCTCAACTAATCTACCCAATTAAAGTAAACATTCCACACCACACATTTCTGTATCTGGGTAATTAAAACAAAGGTAAAAATTTTCAGTTATCTGCATAAATTATTTGAATAGGGCCAGAAGTAAAAAACACACAGCAATAACAAAAAGTGCAGAAGCATACAATAAATAGTATCATATAGTTATGGTTTTAAATTTTGGTATGCATCAAAATTCTGTAAGTGCTTGTTAAAAACAAGCAAATAAACAAACAAACAAACAAAACAGATCCCAGGACACAATCAAATCTATGAATCATAATCCACCATGGTAGGAACCAGGCAGTTGTTTTTAACAAGCTCTCCAAGTGATCCTAATACACATCAAGGTTTGAGAATCCACTGTTAACGAAAGGTCATAGGGTCACATTGATAAAATTAACCATCATATTCTTAAGAAGCCACAGTAAAGCCTAAAAAATATTTTTTATTTGCTTTGAAAAGCAAGTGCTTTTAAAACGAAAATACGATAATGCTTACTTTTCTGAGCTTCAGCATTTGCAACATAGATGAACCCATCAACAACTTCACACACCTTCTGAATTTGTGGAATTACACTGTAGCGGCTTCCTTGTTGATCATCCCCTTCATTCTGTAAACTGAACATCTTGTTAACTGCACTTGTATGCTCTTCTCTTGCTCTATCTCTTTCCTTTCTATAAGAAAATATGTGAACATAAAACATAATCAGACACTAAACAGGCTGCATCCCCTTAAAATATTCCAGTCCTTAAGTCACCAAGTAGGAAGCATTACCTGGTAGTTGAATATAATATCAGGATGTTGAACTTATGTTGGTTGCTCAACTGAAAATTGACCCCTGATCCAATACCTAAAGAAAAAAATTACAGTTATCAAAAAAAGTCATTAATAAAGACAGCAAAAGATCAGATTGAAAAAAATTACCCAGAATTTTAAAAATTCTACAACTTATATATAGCTTTGAATTAAAATGGAATGTTCATGTTGAAAAAGATGCTGCTTGCAATTTTCATTCACTTAATAAAAACATAGACAAAGAACTGCTAGGCTTGCCCGGCTGGCGTGGCTCAGTGGTTGAGCGTCGACCTATGAACCAGGAAGTCATGGTTCGATTCCCGGCCAGGGCACATGCCCGGGGTTGCGGGCTTGATCCCCAGTGTGGGGCGTGCAGAAGGCAGCTGATCCATGATTCTCTCTCATCATTGATGTATCTATCTCTCTCTCCCTCTCCCTTCCTCTCTGAAATCAATAAAAATGTATTTTAAAAAAATAACTGCTAGGCTTATAACATTCCTTTTCATATCATCGTTATCTTCATTAACTTTATCATCATCATATCAGCAGCAGTTGCATCATAATAGCTACTACTATTTATCTTGAAGACTAAGACTCATTTTCATATTTTTATGTTTCTCATTTCTTACACTCCATGCATACATTCAGTGAAATGGCTCCCCTCTCCACCCAAAAAGCTGTTTTTAAATTTATGAGGAGTCATCAATGCCAACTTAGAAAATTGAAAAAAATATGGCATAATTTGGAATTAGACTTGATTTAGAATCTTGACTTTGCTATACATAGCCATGTTTTTGTGAGCCTCAGTTCTGTCATAGAAGTATAGTAATAATACATTTTAGGATTATTGTAAGCATTAAACAAGATTACATATGTAAAACTATTCGAGTGACTGGTAAATAGCAGGTGCTAAGTAGTACTAGCTTCTTTCAACTTTATACCTGAATCATTCAACTTTGTTATTTGTCCTTCTTTATAAACATCTTCCTTCTTTTGGCTGTTAACACACAGGGACTCATTTTCCCTCCTGCTTCTTAGAAAGGGCATTCTCTTTTCCCATGGCTCTACTTCTTTTTGCTATAAAAATGTCCTCTTAGATTTTGTCCACCCCTCTCCATCCTCACTCCCACCCTTTAGATTAAGTTGCCATCATCTCACACTTGGACTTCTGCAATCACTTCTAAACAGTGTCCTACATCCACTTTTGCCCTCTACTATCATTCTTCCCCCAGCATGTGGAGAGACTGCTTAAAAATGCCTATCTAGCCAGTAAGGCTCAGTGGTTGAGTGTCGACCTATGAACCAGGAGGTCAGGGTTCGATTCCTGGTGAGGGCACATACTGGGGTTGTGGGCTCTATCCCAGGTAGGGGGCATGCAGGAGGCAGCCGGTCAATGTGTCTCTATCATCAATGTTTCTCTCTCTCTCCTCTCTTCCTCTCCCTCTAAAAATTAAAAAAAAAAAAAAAGCCTAAATAATTATACCTCTTCCCTTCAAAGCCACTTCCCTTCAGGCAAAGAAAACGTTAATATAATCTGGTCTCTACTTACCCCTGCATTATAACCAATATAGTTGTCCAAATAAGCTGAGCCATGCCACACCTTTTTATGTCACCACATATACAGAGATCTTGGTGGCTGGCACTGCAAGCATCCCAGGCCAAGTGACCTGAGTCTGCTGGCCACTAGGCCTGGTGCACAACCCCCAACCTCAGAGATCACAGAAGTAAATTCCACCATGATCTTTATTTTCATCAGAAACTTCGAGATTTCCCTCTCAACACATCTAACCTCAGCCTAATATGATCTCTAGGCTGTTCTGAACGCACTACCTTGCCAATGACCCCTCCTTTCATTCTTCCCTGATCTTGCAGGGTTTGAGGCATAATTAAATTGGCATTTCCAAACAATCACTCCAGCTGCTGTCTTGAGAATGAAATTGCCATTTCATAATCAACCTTCTCCATGTCCCCAACCTCTTCTTGAGCTGTCCCTTCTATCTCTTGGCTTTACCTGAAATGAGCCTGCCCCTAGGTGCCGCTTCTCTCACTGTGGACCAGAGGTCCTCAAACTTTTTAAACAGGGGGCCAGTTCACTGTCCCTCAGACATTCCACACATGTGCACTGCGGGCCCGGGACGAGTCGGCTGCTAAGCAGGACAGGCAGCGGCGGCAAAAACACCCGGTGGGCCAGATAAATGTTTTCGGTGGGCCGCATGTGGCCCGCGGGCCGTAATTTGAGGACGCCTGCTGTGGACTCTCATGTAACAAGGTTGCTTATTCTCTCACATCTCAGGGTAAAGAGGTAGGGTCAATGTTCTCTTTACTCCCCAGTGCCATGTCTTAACCATTACTCACCAACCCTCTTGAAAAACTCCATCTCTTTGAGACACACACAGCATTCAGCTATAGTCCCATCTCTCCTTCCTTGACCTTGTAATTTATAAATTTCCTTTTGATTATCCCTTCCTCCAAACATTCACTGAAGATTTCAGCACCTGGTTCACAATCTTCCTCTCCATCCTCAGAAATTTCAAAGTCCACATGGACTCCATGATTGTCAAATCTTGATTTCTAGCCCAGAATTTGCTCTTGAGATCTGGATGCATAAAGTAATCCACAAAGTCACTTGTTCATTCATGCATCAAATATATATTGAGTGCCTATTATGTGCCTGATACCGCAGATCAAGCTAAGAATAAAGTTGACAAGATTCCTGCCCTAATGGAGCTATAATTGGATTGCTTATAGCAGGCATCTATCTCTACACATTCAGTCAATTCTATATCCTTCATACTTTTATCACAATACTAGAGGCCCGGTGCATGAATTCGTGCATGGGTGGGGTCTGGCCCACCCCAGTTGGGGTGATTGGGCTGGGCCAGCTGGGGTGAGGGGTCATGAGCGGTTGGCCGAATGGCCTCACCCCCTGGTCAAACTCCCAGTTGAACTCCTGGTCAAGGGGACAATTTGCATATTAGCCTTTTATTATATAGGGGCACATCACCCAGGAACCGCCACTGCCAAGTCACCACAGCTCAGCAGCTCCTGCATTGAGCATCTGCCCCCTGGTGGTCAGTGCATGTCATACCTACCGGCCGGTTGGATGGTTGGATGGTTGCTTAGCCTTTTATATATATAGACTAGAGGCCCAGTGCACGAAATCCATGCACAGAGGGAGGGGTAGGAGTCCCTCAGTCTGGCCTGCACCCTCTTCAATCCAGGACCACTCAGGGGATGTCCGACTGCCGGTTTAGGCCTGATCCCACAACAGGCAGTCGGACATCCATCTCGCAATCCAGGACTGCTGGCTCCTAACCGCTCACCTGCCTGCCTGCCTGATTGCCCCTAACCACTCTGCATGCCTGCCTGATGCCCCTAACTGCTCTCCCCTGCCAGCCTGATCCGCCTAACTGCTCTCCCCTGCTGGCCTGATCCCCCTAACTGCTCTCCCTTGCCAGCCTGATTGCCCCTAACCACCTCTGCCTCGGCCCCACCACTGTGGCTTTGTCCAGAAGGACGTCCGAAAGGTCGTCCTGAAGATGTTCGGTCTAATTAGCACATTACCCTCTTATTAGTATAGATTAGTGGTTTCTTAATGCATCTCCATGTCTTTATAATGCCTCCTAATCAATTTTCCACTTAAGGAAGCCAGATTGAGCTTTCTAAATGCAATCTCGACCACCTCATTCCTCTGCTTAAAATCCTTTAAGAGCTTCCAAATGCTTAAGCATGGCACACAAGTGTCTTCTCACCTGTACACTCTACACACACAGAGCTACTTCAAATGTGCCATGCACAACCAGGGTGTTGTCCTTTTAGAAATGTAGTTTTCACTGCTCAGAATATTTTTACCCTGTCTTTTTTTTTATTGCCTACTCCTACTCATCTTAATGACCATGTGAGGCATCTTATTCAATGTGGTGCCTTCTCTGACCCTAAATTTTCTACCCAGGAACTAACTGCATCATATTCAAATCACCTGTGCACTTGTCTCTGTCCATCCTAGACCAAGTGTCTTCAGGACAAAGATTTTTGATATGGTTTTAAATCTCTGCATCTTTAGGATCTAATAAGTGCTCTCAATAAATGAATAAGTAAAGCTAGATTGTATTATCATTTATATTTATTATATATCCTGTTTACCAACTAACTACATGGCTGCTGTTGGGTTCTGTTTTTTTTTTTCATAGAAAGAAGGGGAAGGTGAAAATTAAGTATTTTTGAAATTTCAATATACAGTTATGTGAAAGTATTTTGCACATAGTAGATAGGTGCCAAATGGTTTTTGCTGTTAATATTCTTTTAAAATATAGTAAATATTGTATAAATACAACATCTTGGCTACATAATTTACTTTCACATAATCTTATATTCTGGATTGCATAAACTTTAGTAGGAAATATGAGAAAGCTTACCTCTTTTAAAAAGTACATTAATTCTCTCAGTCCTTTGGCACCTGGAGGGCTCTCACTAACCAAATTACTATATTTCAATGATTTTTAATCTTTTTTATGTCATGGCACATATAAAGTAATTATTAAAATTCTGCAGCAATCAAAAATATATTTTTGCTGATCTGACAAAAAAATAGGTATAATTTTGATTCATTCACACAGGATGACTATTGTTATGTCGACTGTTGTCATTATTTTATTTGATAATCTAAAGGAAAAGAGGTCCAATATCTGTCCCAGAGTACAGTCAGATATTGCATGTTTTAAAAATTCTTGTGACACACCAGTGTGACTCTCACATCACACCAGTTAAAAATCACTGCTATATTTCATCACATCAAATAATTAATTAAAAAATGAATTTCTTTCTATTTAACATTAGTGTCAAGCTCAAAGTGTTAACTTATTATGTACTGTAGATTAACAGGAAAATTACCATCAATTTGCCTCTGAGGCAAACCAGCTGTTGGGCAAAGTTCCTCAGAAGACATCAAGCTCAACACCAAAGATGTATTCAGTTCTTCCAAACCTGGTCCAAACATAGCAAATCGGGGTTCATTCTGAATGATCAATGAGTGTAAAAATGAGGTCACTGCTCCATACATAGGACGGCTAGCTTTCGAGGATCTTCTTGTGTATGGACAGCACATTTTATAGCTGTATAAAATTGTCACAATTAGAAAATTAATACAGAAAAAATTTAGCCAGTTATTTGCTCAACAATGTATAATTTATTGAGAATTTCCTAGATACAAGGATACAATGACTATATAGTTCCAATTCTCATGGAGGACAGTGGGGGACAGACACCATTATAATATGTATGCCAAGTGCCATGACAGGACTAAGCCTGAGGTGCTATGGGAGCACTACTGATCCAGAAACTGAGAAAGTCTTCCGCAGGAAGTCATTACTTACTTTCCAATCTTTCATTTAGATTCTCTCATGGAACATTTGGTCTAACACTTGTTTCAATGGTTAAAATTCACTACATAGAGTAGTGATCAAATGGGGGAGATTTTGCTCCTCACCCTCCTCTCTTCGCCCCCCCCAGGTCCAGGGAACATTTGGCAACATCTGGAGACACTTCTGTTATCACGGCAGGGGGTTAGTGAGGTGGTACTACTGACATCTAGTGGGTGGAAGCCAGGGGTGCCTCAAAACATCAACAGTTCCCAGACCATCTGGTCCAAAATGTCACTAGTTCCAAGATTGAGAAACACTGCACTGAAGATAAACTACACAGACAGTCAGCATAAATGTTCCTATAGATTAAAAAATATATAACCAAGTTTCTTACATACTTTTATTAACAGCCTCAAATATAACAGTTCAATAAGTGTTAAACATAAAGGGAGGCTCAAATATTCCTTACAGATAACCTAGCAAACTAAGAATCACATAAAAATAAAAACAACTCAGTTTCTTTTAATAGCTATAAATGTCTAAACTAGCAATTCCACATGTTATTGAAAATGAAAATAAAGTTACCCAATCAAAATAAAACCTAAAGCCCTTTAACTAAATCAAGCTGGTTAAGACAATTACTAACCTAATAAGATAATCATGTTTATTTAGGAACTTGTAATTCAAGAAGGAAAAAAAATCAAATTTGAAGCTAGATAGGTCAGGCCAAGCTTCACTACTAGTTAGTTATATAAGCCACTGATAGTCTGAACATCAATTTTTCCAACTGCAGTACATGAACAATAATCAACCCGGGGTTGTAAGAGTCAGAAATCATTTTATTTGCTCACAAAAGATAGTTACTATGATTATTACTATCCCTGGGGGAAGTTTGGTCTCACAGCATCAGATACACTCGATGCTAGGTTGGCTGCAGGACCAGTTGCTCAATAACATTAATTCTCTCACCTATATTATATTCCAAAATGTCAATGCTTTTGGGTTAGTAAGAAAATTGTATTTCCCAGATCCTTGAGAATGGTTTTCTCCTTGCCAAAGAACTGCTTTCTGATCTCTGGACATTCCTTTTCTGGATATGGAAAGCATTCACTATTGAACAAAATGACAAGTGTTCTAAAGATAAGAAAATTTAAAGAAGAGTTTCACTCCCTGCCATGTGAACTATGTATATTTACCCAAATACTCTGGTCAGGTATGGGGCGCAGCTACAGTGTTTTGGCCAGGTCCAAGCTTCGGACTAATGAAAGGACAGGGTCCTCTCATTGCCACGTGCAAGTCCCAGCTGGAGGGCAGGGCCCTCCCAGCACAATTATAGCCAACGGCTGTGGTTGTAAGCTTGAACCTATGGTCCAAACATGTAACCCCACGTGCCTGTGTGCTAGAGTTCAGTGCATATAGTTGAGTGAGGTTGAAACTCACGAGAATGCTGTAAACAACGTGATCACGCCCCTACTTTGCCTCATGGCATCTGCTATAAAATAAAGACATGGCTTGTGGGCGCTGGGGCTGTCTCCTCATCAGGGAGTAGCGTCCCACCGAGACCCAGCTTTCATTCTCTTATCTGTCTTTCCTTAATCCTTTCCCGCCCCCCCCCCCGCCCCCACTCAGTTTACCTTTGGCCGCAACAGTCAGGCATCACAGGGAAGTAACAAAATGAAGTCATTTAACTTAACCCCAATTTTCACAAAAGAACAGACACTAAGACCCAAAATCTATGAAAAAAAAAAATTAGTCTTGGGACTATTGACTTGTAATACAGTCAAATTTAATGTCTTCTCTTTAATGCATAAAACTAGATACTTACACCGCCATGTAGTCAAAAAATGCACCATCAGTGACTTCAGACATAGGCTTTTTTAAGATGTCCAGATCTGGAAGAGACTTCCAGTCAACGGAAGACCACGAAGGAAGGTCCCGCAACAGAAAGTACCTCCACAGAATGGGATCTCGAACGGTTTCGTTCCAGTAATGACTTGTACTTCCCAACTGACACAGATCGTGAGGGGAGAGGAATGACAAAATATAGAGCTGTACGTCAATCTGAAACAGAGGAAAGCGGCACGCAGGTGAAAGGGGGAATAATTTATCTTGGAAAATTATTTTCCGATAATAAATGAGAAAAATTATTATCATCATACTAGGAAACCGAACGTCGACTGAACAGTGTCTTAATTAAATCTATCAGGATAAATGACAATAGCAACAAAGGCTTGTTATACCAGATAACCAAAGATCAACTGAACAGCCACTATTTTCCCCTAACACTATCATTCTGAAGTTGCTTTCCTGCCGTCAGGAGAGAATCCTAACTGAACACTTAATTTCTGATACACGGAAACCAACCATTTTTTCAAGCAAAATAACCAGTTTCTTTCATTTCTTTCCAGGGGTATTTTGCCAGACCATTTGGGTATATTTACTTAGGAAATAACTTATTCTTCAGAATAAACCTTTCGCAAGCAAACTTCTGATTTTATCACCAGATCACATCCAAGGGTAAACCTGTCAACGGAGTTCCTCTGTCAAATCCATTAATTGTTTCGAAGGACCTGCGCCGGGGGGAGAACCGGGGCGGCATTCCGAGCCCCCTGTTCTCAGTTCCTGATGGGCGGCGGAGGGAGGTGTCAACAGCCCATGGGAGAAGGGATTTTTTTTCCTGTGATTTTTTTAATTTTTTAAATTTTATTGTTTAAGGTATTACAAATGGTAGTACATATGTCTCTTCCTCCCCCGCCCCCGCGCCCAGTGTCTTGCACCTGTTGGTTGTGCTTAAATGCATGCACACAAGTCCTTCGGTTGGCATCTTACCCCCCAACCCTCCCCAGCCCTCCCGCTGTAGTCGGACAGTCTGCTCGATGCTTCTTTGCCTCTGTTTCTGTCCAACAGTCTGTAATGTCCTTGATTATGCATAAATGAGTGCGATGAAGGAGAAGGGATTTAGTAATGTCTAAGAATGTCCCCATCTCCCCGACAAATGGCCCGCTGAAGGCCGTGGGAAGGCTGCGGCTCGGTGGGAGTGTAGCCGCGGGGAGTGTGTGCGAGGCAGCAGCCCGGCCCCCCGGGAGGGTGGAGGGGAGACCCCGCGTCTCTGGGCCC